GGGTAATTTATAATGGAAAGAGGTTTAATTGACTCACAGTTCCGCATGGCTGGGAAGCCTTAGAAAATTTACGATGGCAGAAGGCCAAGGAGAAGTAAACATCTTCTTCACAAGGCCGCGAGGCGGGGGCAGTTAACATCACCATCACAAGAGATCTCACAAGATCTCTCTCAGATCTCGTGGGAACTCACTCACACTATCATGAGAACAGCATGTAAGGAACTGCCCTCACGATCCAATCACCTCCTGCCAGGTCCATCCCGCAATACCTGGGGATTACAATTCAAGATGGCATTTGAGTGGGCACACAGAGCCTAACCATATCAGTATGTGTGTGTAGATAGGGGTCTCATTATGTTGCCCAGGCTGGTCTCAAACTCCTGAGCTCAAGCAGTCCTGCTGCCTCAGCCCCACAAGTATCAGGGGTTACAGGTATACACGATCACACCTGGCTAATTTATTTTTATTTTTATTTTTTGTAGAACTGGATTCTCACCAGGTCACCCAGGCCAGTCTCCAACTCCTGGCCTCAAGCAATCCTCCTGCCTCAGCCTCCCAAATTGATGGGACTGCAGGTACCTGCCGCCATGCCTGGCTGGAAGGTATTATTTATATACAAGCTTTTAGGGCAAAACATGTGCACCTGGTCTCTCAGATGTTCTCATCAAAACGAGTGACATGAGGAGCTATCTATGCTACAGGAAGTGGTTAAAGACCTTACTTCAGAGCACCTTGGTATGTGGGGGTTCAAGCACAGGTCACTGTGGCAGTTTCACTTCAAGATGGCATCACTCTTGCCATGCAACAGGCTGTTTCCCTAGAGGCATCAAAGACAAAATAGTCCTGTGGCTAGGTGAACCAGGCAACCAAACCTCAGTGAATTTTACTAGCAATAGTTCTAACATTCCAAGGACTAGATTTAAAGGTGGTTCAATAAAGCACAAATCATTGGTTACACGAACTGGAAAAAAAAATCAGTAGAAGAATGTCTACTTACAACATAGGGAAGATTAAAAATAAAATTTGGGATCAATAGGCAAGTTCTAGACCATTGTTCCACATGCTCATATATTTAGGGGTCATGCAAGCCAATCAGATAGCAGCAAATTCAGGCAAAAGGAGGAAGACTATTTGGAGAAGCATATATTTGGGGAAAATAGTACTAGAATTATTATATAAAATAAAAAGGGTCCAAGAAATAAATTATACATGTAGAAGTGTTCGTTGAAAGAACAAGAATCTAAATCTTTAAACAAAGTAAAAAAATTTTTGAAGCCCCCACCCAGCCCAACAAAGTAAAAAAAAAAAAATTTAATTATTTTAGAATAAAGATGAGGTTTCACCATGTTGGTCAGGCTGGTCTTGAACTCCTGACCTCAGGTGATCCACCTGCCTTGGCCCCCAAAGTGCTTGGATTACAGGCGTGAGCCACCACGCCTGGCCACAAAGTAAAATTTTTAAAAAATGAAGTGTAAAAACAAGCATTTATGCAACATTTTAAAATGCAAATGTTAAATTATCCTAAAAGGCAGCACTATTTATATTGCTACATGGTTATGCGCAACATTGAATTGTGTGCTTTAAGTGGCTAATTGTATCTTCTATGAATTTCACCTCAATTTGAAAATATTGCTAAAGCCAGATAAACTTTATTTATTTTTTATTTTTTATGTTTTGAGATGGAGTCTCACTCTGTTGCCCAGGCTGGAGTGCAGTGGTGTGATATCGGCTCACTGCAACCTTCGCCTCCCAGGTTTGAGTGATCCTCCTGCCTCAGCCGCCGGAGTAGCTGGGATTACAGACGTTCACCACCATGCCCAGCTAATATTTGTATTTTTAGTAGAGATGGAGTTTCACCATATTGGTCAGGCTGGTCTCAAACTCCTGACCTCAGGTGATCTGCTTGTCTTGGCTTCCCAAAGTGCTGGGATTACAGGGATGAGCTACTGCACCTAGCCCAGATAACCTTAATTTTTTTATTTTTATGTATTTGTTTATTTATTTATTTTTTTACTGAGTCTTGCTCTGTTGCCCAGGCTGGAGTTCAGTGGCCTGATCTCAGCTCACTACAACTTCCGCCTCCTAGGTTCCAGTGATTCCCCTGCTCCAACCTCCCAATTAGCTGGGATTACAGGCGCACACCTCCACGCCCTGTTAATTTTTGTATTTTTAGTAGAGATGGCGTTTTACCATGTTAGTCAGCCTCAAAATCCTGACCTCAAGTCATCCACCTTCCACAGCCTCCGAAAGTGCTGGAATTACAGGCATGAGCCACCACGCCTGACCCCAGATAACCTCTAAAATGTTTTTATTTTGGTCCTTATTTTACACCAAGCCCTTCCGATTAGGTAAAGTTCAATAGGTTAAAAATTAATTTTTTTATTGTTTTTAGTGCAGCCAACTTTATTTAGACCATAAGTTTTCACAGACTTAGCACTATGCCCAGAAATTTATCTCTAAATAAACTTTTGCTTGCATTTTAAATGTTTTTATTTTATGCCATGCCAGCTCAGTTTTTAAAATAATTAAAATATTAAAAGTTTGTGTTTAAAAATAATTTCAAACTTGTAGAAAAGTTGTGGCCAGGCACAGTGGCTCATGTCTGCAATCCCAGAACCTTGGGAGGTGAAGGCAGAAGAATCACTTGAGTCCAGGAGTTCGAGATCAGGCTGAGCAACATAGAGACAAAAAAAAAAAAAAATTCTTTTTTCTTAACCAGGCATGGCAGTGCGTACCTGTAGTCCCAGCTACTTGGGAAGCTGAGGTGGGAGGATTGCTTGAGCCCAGGAGCTCAAGGCTTCAGTGAGTTGTGATTGCACCAGCACTCCATCCTGGGTGACAGAGCAAGACTCTGTCTCAAAACGGAAAGAAAGAAAGAAAAGTTACAAAAACTAAAAATGGTGTCAAGAACATTCAATGTTAGCAGAGCTGGTGGCTCACGCCTATAATCTTAGCACTTTGGGAGGCTAAGGTGAGAGGATCACTTGAGGCCAGGAGTTCACGGCCAACCAACCCAGGCAACATAGCAAGACCTTGTCTCTAAAAATAAAATAAAAAATAAAATCCATACCTTTAATTTAGATTAACCCAGTTCATTTTACTTCATTTACTCTTTCATGTTCTTTCTCTCCCTCTGTTAGGCAGAATACTGTACACCAGTGTCAGTCCCTGAGAGAGAAACATCATGCACCGATTACCAATCCCAAGGGAGGACTCTAAGCACCTCATTAATTTCTCCTAAGATTCCTGCATTTGCTAGGAGATTTTGCACAAGCCCAGCTGCCCGAGTATAAGTCCAGTGAGACAGCACGCTTGCACAAGTCAGGCAAAGCAACTTTACTACCCCCACATAGGCTGCAAAACCCAACAGAAGCCTAGGCTCCAAGGTGAACTGGTCCCCAAGCCTCAAGAAAGGTGCTCAGGACAGAGGGAGCCTCATCTGCATGAGCTCCACTTCACACCGCAGCCAAGGGATTCAGAAAGCACTCCACCACTTCACTCTGGGTTTTATACTCTGACCAGGACTTGACTTACTGATCACAAGTGTTGCAGGACATCTGTTCTAGGAGGAATGAGGACAGAGCCTGGGTTGTTCCTC